GCGCGCAGGGATTAGGGCCAGGCGCTTCACCCCTCCTTCCCTCTCTCCTCCCGAGGTGCTAATCCAGAGCGCCCCTGCTCCCCCCCTCCCACTGTCCTCTATTTATGCAGGAGCTCTGGGGGGGTAGTGTGGCGCCGATCAGCTGTTTAAAAAGCCTTGCTTGCGGCGCCAATCAGCTGTTTAAAAAGCATTGCTTTGCCATGATCGGTTCCCCAAGCAGGGAACCAATCATCGCAAAGCGAAATTTCCCCATAGGGAACATCGGAAAGCGATTGCAAAAGCGATCGCAAAATCTTCATCGCAAAGTGATTTCATCGTTATACGAAGCAATCGCTATGCAAGGCACCACTGTACTCACTTCTGTGATACACTGTATTTCAGTTAGATGTATAAAAGAAAACATGGGAATTATTAGATTTACCTTAGTAAACTCTTCAGCATTCCCAGTATACAAATAATTTCATGCATTTGCATCATACGGGCTTCAAGTTCACACACTGGCCCTAATTTTTCAACTGCCCTTTCATACTGGTCCTCTTGTTCTAAAGGGCTATATTTCCAATATTATAGAAATGTAACGGGACTTCCTTATTTATTCTTTCTGATGGGAACCCTTTGCAAACATTTAGTGTCAAAATACAAGGAGTTGCTGTAGAACTGAGGCTTGTGAACTATGGGAAGCATGGCACCTACATACATTTTGACTGTAACAGGTTGGGAGTTACATTTTGGACCACACGTTTTCATCTCTTACTTCGTTGTACTTGGCTCTGTCCTAGAGCTTCTTGTCAAAGCTGCCTTGGATCTCTGGACTGGGAGAAAGGCAGGATATAGTAAAATGCATAGTAAAAACACTCCACTGCACTGTGGGAGTTGTATATGGAGGCAGCCACTGTTGGAACCCATTCCCCCATTTACCTTTGTGAGTTGCAGGGAACCTTTGCAACTTCCCAAAGTATGGCAGAACAGTTTTCTCATAGTTTGAGGGAGCGACATGGGAACAGCGTGGAGAAGTGGGAGCTACTCTGCGTCCTGACAGTTTGAGGACTCCCAGTCCCATACTCCAGTCTTGGGCATTCTTGCCAAATTACAGGACTGGGAGTCCATGAATTCCAAATATCCCATCTCCAAATATTGTAATAGGTATTTTAAAAGTTGGGAAGAAAAGCTTTACATCTTGTCATTGCTATGCTAGTTTTCTACTTACAATAAACTTCTACAAGAGAGAGGCATACAAAACCATCACTTACGCGCAATTGGAAAATTGGTACTATCTTTTCTCGCACTGACATCTGACTGTTAATCATCATCATCATCTTAGAACTGCAGCGCTGGAAGAGACTCCCTGGATCATCGAGTCCAGCCCAGTGGGGAGTCCAATCCCCAACCTCTGGCTTTTAGAAAGTAGCACATTCCATTTGAATTGGTATTTTTGTGCATAAAAAAACATGTGGGCCTTTTGAAGTGGAAATGAGAAACCATTGTGTGTCTGTGTCACTGTCACAGCTGGATGGATAACTTAGTGCTTTAGGTATCTGTCTGTGGAGCCAGAGATTGGGAGTTGGATTTCCCATGGTGTGTCCCAGAAGAACCAACTTTCGTGGGCAAGCTGCACAGTCCCAGGGCGATCCTCAGACGAAAAGAAGGGTAAACCACTTCTGTGTGTCCTCAACCTGGAAAACCATGGAAAGGGTTGCCATAAGTCAGAATTGACAATTACTGTTTATCACCTTTACAGAGAAAATGGCCTAGTCTTTTCATCGAGGGCCCCAACTTCTCCTTACATTCACAAGCTCCTTGAAATAGTATAAGTTATCTATCTGTTTCTCTACAAGCTTGCTTCTTGAAAAGAAAAGCTCGGGTTCTTATTCATAAATAGGCTCTTTTGTAGATAAGTGCCCTAGCATAACCATTTGGAATAGCAATCACTAGCTGGCAATCATTCCTTTATGGCTCTTTACCCGTGTGGGCCCCACTCACATGGAGAGAGAAGTGCATGGAAAATAATATGGAAACTAACCTGTAAATAAATATACACATTTTGGACATCTTCCCTACTTTACCCCTTTCTTCTGGTTGGAATACATTTTTAAAAATAATAATACAGTGGTGCCTCGCTTAACGAGTGCACCGTATAACGACGAAATCACATAGCGATCCGTTTTTTTGGATCACTAATGCGATCGCTCAACGAGCTTTAGATAGGGAGAAATTCGCTTTGCGAAGATCGCGGTAAGCGTTTCGCTTACCGATCTTCGCAAAGCGAAGCTCCGACGATCAGCAGGCCACAACGATCAGCTGTTTGGCGGACAAAATGGCCGCCGGAAGCCCCAAAATGGCCGCGCGCAGCGTTTTCGCGCCCTCCCCTCGCTTAACGAGGGCGCAAAAATGGCTGCCGGCCATAGGAAACCTCGCTGAACGGTGAGTAAAGGAGTCTTTTGGAACGCATTAAACGAATGGCTTTCCCTGTCCCGTTCAGCGATGTTTCGCTATAGCGAAGGTTAATCCGGAACGGATTAACCTCGATATGCGAGGCACCACTGTAATAATAATAATACTGTAATCCTTGGTGCATCTATCAGGGAAGTCAGTTCCACTGAAGTAGGCACTTAACATCCTTGTATATATGTGTGGTGTAGAAACACAGCTGAATAGCAGTCAGTGGTGTACCTGCCAGTTAAACCTGGTTTTACTGTGAGGGAAGAAATCTGACAACCTGAAAATATATTATATTATAGATATATAAACATTTAAATAAAAGTCAAACAAATTGAAGTATTTAAATGGTTAGACAATCAACCAACCAATCAGTCAGTCAAAGTGAAAGCTGCTCTGAAAGCACTGGGAAGAAATAAATCACCAGGGATTGATGGAATACCGATAGAACTGTTTGAAGCCACAGAAACTGAATATGTCAAAATCCTAACCTTCTTGACAACAAATATGGAAAACCAAACAATGGCCCAAACATTCAGTATAATTTCACTCCCCAAGAAGGAGATGCTAAGGAGGGCTGAATTCCAAAAAGGAACAGGCACTCAAGATTGTATTGCTAATATCTGCTGGCTACTGGAGTGCACCAAAGAATTTTAGATCAGTCTGTGTTTTACAGACTACAGGAAAGCCTTTGACTATGTAGACCATGAGAAACTATGGATTGTTCTGAAAGGAATGGGTGTTCTTTGGCACTTGATTATCTTGACCTGTAACTTGCATTGTGGACAACAAGCTACCATTAGGACAGAATATGGAGAAACAGAAGGGTTTACTATAGGCGAAAGGTGTCAAGCAAGGTTCCATTTTATCCCCTTATCTGTTCAATCTGTTGGCAGAACATATCAGGCTGAAAGCCAGACTAGATTCAGATGAAGGAGGAGTGAGAACTGGTGGAGGCAACATCATTAATTTAAGTACAGATGACACTATCTTACTGGAAGAAAGCGGCAATGATCTGAAATGACTTTTAGTGAAAGTAAAAGAAGGAACATCCTTCTACATATGTGTGGTGTAGAAACACAGCTGAATAGCCGTCAGTGGTGTACCTGCCAGTAAACCTGGTTCTGCTATGAGGGAAGAAATCTGACAATCTGAAAACATAGTTCCAAAGGCATTTGGGCCAGGAAAATATCTTAATCCCGGTGGGTGTGATGGAAACATTTTTTGCCGTGGCTTCACTATGAATAAAACAGGGATTTGCTGTAATGATGACACACTTTGTAGAGTTATTGGAAAAGCCTATATTGATCTTGAGCTATTTAGCTTTGCTATATCTTTCATTACAGGGTCACAACATCTTTGCTAACTTGTCCTCCAAGGATTACAGTGACCTTATGCAGCTTCTGAAGAAGTCAATATTGGCAACAGACCTCACTCTCTATTTTGAGTAGGTATTGGCATTTTGTGAATTTGACAAATGAAAATCCGAAAAAGCTACAGCCCCTAATGACCTTTTAAATGCCAGTGAGGGCACAGGGCACATTATAGGAGAAGTTAGTATTTAATTATCATTTGAGTTATTTACTCTAGCGTTTTAAAGCTTCACGAATGTTCTCTGTTCATTATGTACAGCTATTTCCTTACCTTTTCTTTTTATATCAATGCTTCAAGCATAATATTCAAAAGAAAATTATCTGTTGAAGACTAACCAGGGAGCTAGTTTTCCTTCTCTGTCCCTGTCACAGTTTGCTAGTTTTGTTGTTGTTCTTTGCACAGTGAATGCTGGCCCATCTGAATACTGAAACTAGACAATCCCATGAAAACTCTACCCCAGTCTTCCAGAACAGGTTGTTCTAGCACAGTTTATGCTCCTGACAGGAGACAACAGAGGACCGTTCGCAGACAGCATTTCTAGCAGGAATGTAGCTTTGGCAGCAAGATCTCACAGATGTGCTCTTCTAGTGATGACCTCTACACATGGAAGTACAACCATGTTACAGGTTCTACAGACAAAATTTTCATATTCCCTGACACTATCTGTAACAATATTTTTCACCAGATATAGCTAGGCATGTTCAAGCTTTTCTTCCCCCTCTAGGAGTGCTTCTATGTGTTTAACTACCACATAATCTAGAGAAGGGGAAGGAAGGAAGAGACAAGGGCCCTCTGTAGCATGCCTTCTGGTGGGACTTCTTTCTTCAATGGGCCCTAGCAATGGTGGGCAACTGCTAAGGTCTCAATCAATACTGGGCATTGTCATTTTAATTTCTCACAGTGCCCTAGAATGATGGTACATCTGAAGCACTGTGGTAAAATGAAATGGAGGTGCCTGACACTGATTGAGAACTGGCAGCAGCAACAACAGCTAAAGTGTGTGTGTGGGGGGGGTCACTGTTGTGATGCTGTGGTCCCAGCAACTGTCATAGTTGTTGTAGGTTCTGTACCTGGATAATTTTTCCCTAGTACATGATGTCTCAAATCCTTTTGCCTACTTATGCTGGCATAACACAAATGGCATAACTTTTGGAGGTGAGTTGGCTTAACTTAAGAAATCATCGTAGACATTATATGTAGCATACTGAGTTATTTGTCTTGGCATGAAACTGAGAATGTCTACAGTGACTTCTTAACTTGGGCTGATTTGCTTTCAAATCCTATACCACTTGTCTAGCTACGCAACAGGATTTTGGCCTGTTTTCTTTATTTAACTTTGACCCAAACTTTGACCTGTCATGCAGTTATTGAAGGCACAAGAACCCTCCTGGAAAAAGAAGAAAACCATTAAATTTGAGAGTCGCATATAATGCCCTTATATATAGGATAGAGTCCCAAGCTTACATAACTTTGAAGGGGGAGTTGTTAGATAAATCGGTTAAGGGTCAGTTATGGCTATTTCGGCAGAGGGCTAAAGGGAACCTACACATTTGGAGCTCCTGTTTCTCCATCATAACTCATGTTCAGTGTCATAAATGTGGATAATGAGGGGAGGAAGGGTCATTGCCTGCAATCCCTGCTTATGGTGGCCGAAAGGCTCAAAGGCAAAGCAGGATGCTGGAATAAGCTGTGCCACTAGGATTCTTCTTTGTCCTCGGAATGTGGCAAACGGAGAAAGAGATATCCAGCCTCGTCACTCCTGTTAAAATTTTCCAGGATTGTTTGGTCTTTGACCCTTTCCATTTATTTCTCTGGAATTTGATACGCATAGAGAAGGTGCTGTGGATGCATATGGGCCTGGCAGGACCATCTGCATAAATCTGAAATGAATTCTTATGAACCTGTCTTCCCTTTACGACGTAACACTTGCTCATGATGAGTGTGAAGAGGTCACATTTTGGTCACCGCTGAAGATTTTATTTCCTTGTTAATTGGTATATATTGCTTAAAGGAGACTAAACATTGGGGAAAGATGATTTTTCAAAGGGAGTGCTCTTTTCTGAGGAAGAGAAATGTGTGTTCTATGGCAAGCTTTTTATTTAAATGAATGAAGGAGTCAGTCACAAAAGCACCTTGTGTAGTGCTGACGCAATGCGGAGTTGCCTGCGAACAGTTAAGGATAAGATTGATTTAAAGCCTGTGTGCCAGCTAGTCTGGGCTATTAAAATTGTCATCTCTGCAGTACTTATTCCCAGAAGGGTTGTTAGGCCATCATGCTATGAATGTGCAAGAGAGAAATGAATTTTCCCTTCTTCTGCCTGTGTGAGTTTGCATTGTTATTAGAAACCTTCCATAAGAGGCAAGCTCTTCAGTGCTCTGCATACAGTAAAACGTGCAAGGAAAGGGCATCATTTGAGGCTTCATTAGTAGACTAAGGGCCTGCCCAGATAGGTACAGAGCTCGCTACTTGGGTCACTGTTGCTGCAGTTTGGTTCGAACCAAATTACAAATCCACACACAAGTTTGGACTCGGACCGCTCTGTTCTGCCCCTTTTCCGAACTACGTATCCCCTTCCTTTCTGACACTGCACTAATGCTTCCGGGTTTTGCTGTTATTTTTTTATGTGAATTGGTATGCTCCTATTTATCCCATTGTTATTTCACACCCAAATGGAGCTGTTGGCGGTGAGGTGGAAACCCTGTAACATATTAAATGGGTTGTGACATTAAAAGGGAGGTTGAAGAAACCCCTTCCTCTCTTTTTGTTTTTCTTTTTTTAGTATATATTTCTTTAACAGACACAACACAATTCTAATACATTGGAGGTGTCTTTTGGTACAATATCTGTAATATGTATACCACACTAGGTTGATACATTGCGTTTTTGTGGTGTCACTTGCTTCATTTAATTTTTTGAAAGTACAGTGGTGCCTCGCTTAACGAGCGCACCGTTTAACGACGAATCTGCATAGCGATCTATTTTTTTAGATCGCTAATGCGATCACATTGCGATATTCTGAATAGGCAAAACATCGCATTGCGATGATCGGTAAGTGTTTCGCTTACCGATCTTCGCATTGCGATGTTTTTTTAAACAGCTGATCGGCGGTTCCGAAATGGCCGCCGGGTGCCCAAAATGGCCGCCACTAGTGTTTTCGCGCCCTGCCCTCGCTTACCGAGGGTGCGAAAATGGCAGCGCTATGGAGGAATTTCGCTGAACAGTGAGTTTGGGAGCCATAGGAACGTTCTTATGGCTTTTTCCATTCCGTTTAACAATGTTCCTACATAGCGACAATTAATCCGGAACGGATTAACGTCGCTATGCGGGGCACCACTGTAAATCATTGTGGCCTGCTGAATGACAGCCGCCCCACACACACACACATGGTAGCACAGCCCCAACAAAGCCCTGGGTGAGGAGAAAGGGACGGAGGAGAGGGGAGTTACCTCCTTCCATCTCTCCAACCTTCACCCCAACATTTTCCCCAGCACTGTTACCACCAGCTGGCTACTGCGAGCTTGTTGTGCTGTCACTGTCCTCCATTGTTCTTGCTGCTGTCTTCTTACTCATAAGTAAACTGGGTAAAGCAGCAGTCCAAAGACCTGTGTGGACTCTTCAGACAGGAAATTAAACAGCTCCAATGTGGATTCCCGGATCACTCTGTATATCAAGTGCAAGATAAAAATAGATTGCACTGAAAACAAGACCCTTTTGAGCCCAAACCAGACTGCTCCAAATTCCCCCATCTGGACAGGCAGGCCCTAAGAGCCTTTATGTTAAGGAAATTGCAAAACTGGTATTTTCAAAGACAGAGCTTAGAAAATTCAGTTGGGGATCACACTGATGACACTACTACTGCTATGGCACAGAACTGCAAGAATCCTGGGGAAAAGCCTGTAAAATACTGGCAGTTAGAAAACATACGAAAACATTACCTAATGGAAAATGATTTTTTAAAAAAAAAAAATGAAAACATACAGAAGGAGCCCGAGAGAAAGACAACATGGTCTGTAGCAAGACTCAGGAGTTCTGTTTTCATGATCATCTTTTGAAAAGTTTCAAAGCTATCCCAAGCATGCCAGTTGCTGGTGGAAATTGGCATCTTAAGATGTCTTCTTTAGGATATGGGGGACTGAGGCCTGATTTCTTGCATTGTAACTCTCCTGCCAAGGCTTTCCAAAACAGTGTGATGGCCTCTTCATGCAAGGTTTCCAACGTGCCATCCTAGGTACCATGGGGAGCCCTTCCGTTGAGTCTTCTTGACATCTACAGAGTTCCAATTTCTTCTTGACTTCTTTTGTCACACAGTTGTGAATGGATGTGCATGCCAACTTAATTCTGATTGGTTTCATCAGTGTGATATCCTCACTTCAGATCACAGGAGAGCTTTTCTATCTTACTCTGTATATCAAAACATGTTTTGTCCCAAATATCTACAAAGAAAGATATTTTTCCTAGAAATACCAGATCTCTCTATTGTACACCATTTTTTTAACTAACCATGAATTGGAAAAGGCTGCCACCAGATGGCTGACAGTCTTTGGACTTGAAGAACAAGTAGAATACCAAGTATACCCAGAAATGCATTCTTAACATATTTGTATTCTACCTATTTGCATCCACCTCATCTTCAAAGAAGCTCAGGGCAACATACACTACATTGTCCCATTTTATTCCCTTTGCTAGTCTTAGGAGGAAATGTAAAAACTGGCCCAAGAACTTTCAGAGTATGACTGCTGGTATTTCAACATTGCAGCACAGAGGCTTCTGCGGTTTAACCCTCAGCGCCACTACGTCCCATTTTGAGTAACCTAAATCTCTCTAACTCTAGCACTGTCTGCTATGTTCGAGTAACAGATACTTAGTAAATGGCTGATTCTAAACAGAGCCCATGTCATTCCTCATCACTGATTTTTTTAATATGTGGTTTGGTTTTCATTAATGCATGGCAATTGGAAAAAAATAAAATTTTACATAAACTGAAAGTTACTGTGATAGATTAGTACATGGGTCAGGGAAAGAGGTACAAATCTTTGTCTTTCTATAAAAACAGTAATAAGGTTCCATCATCGTTTTTTTCTTGCCAGTGTGTAATCAACAGAATATGAGATTGATGGTCCATTATAAAAGAGAGAGAGAGAGAGAGAGTGTGTAAGTAACATCCCCACTAATGGGGACCACCCTGCCTCTTTTCCAGACTTCATATATATACACTGATTTACTTATATTGATATACTTATATTGATTTACTTGTTACAGAGGAGTGTAGGCCAGTATAGTTTTTGAAGACCCTCTGAAGTTTGGGGAAAGACCATCATTATACAGAATGATAGTTAAAGTATTGCACCTAAATCTTAAAAATATATTTCCTTCTGCTGATGTGTTTTGTTGTAGGAGGAGGAATGAGTTTTTTGAACTTGTCAACAAGGGTGACTACAATTGGAACATTAGCTGTCAGCGAGATATATTCCGGTAAGTGAGAACTTTGTCTTGGTTGAAGTACGCATGCTTGACAAGATTGGGACAGGGACTTAGACAGTTTGCAGTAGCAGAGAGCTGTATTCTTTTCCCATCTTCTGGAAGTGCAGACCTACCTTTTGTGTGTCATAGTTAACAATGTCTGACAGCATTGTTTCCTGACTCAGAATCTGTACATATGTTGTCTAGATCTAGAACAACATCTGCAAGTCCAGTGTTCTCTGTCTTGTCTCTACAGTAGTATTTACTAGGAGGATTGCCATAGGGGTGTAAACTGCTAAGCTCTACCAGATGCCACAGGCAACTAACAGTAAGAGAGTGGAGATTCTTAAGACAATTCAGAGTCTGGAAAGTTACTTCTAAGCGGAGCATTTTACCCACATTTGAAATCCTTGAAAGGAGAACTCGTTGGACACTTTTGTGTTTGATTTGGGTTTGACTACATTTGTGTAAGATCTGGGTTTATTTAAAGAGATGCAGTTGACTATGGCTGGAGACACACTGCAATTCCTAAAAGCAGCCAGTTCCCAGTGGGGCACCACAACCCTCCTCAGCAGATCTCCTCTTCAGCTGGCAAGCCCTTTCTTTCATCCTTTCAAAGCCCAACTGCATGCTGCATTAAATAAGCGCTGTGCCACTTAGGGTCACTTTATTTTTAATATTCCAGTCCCCACACACAGCCTCAATCCAGGATGGGAAAATTGCGTGTAAGTGGTTTAAACCTTTCTCCTAGGTGTTTTAAAGTAAAAAATTTATCTCCTCACAGTCTCTTCCTCTTCCTCTCGCATACATGCACATGTGCACACAGACACAGATGCATGTTTACGCGTATGGGGGATTTATAAAAAAGGATAGAAAACCTCCTTTGGAACCAGTACGGTTTTATTTTTTCCTTTCTAGCTTTAGCCCTGAAATAAAAACTGACTGGGCGATGTTCCCAGTCCAGATTGTAATGGTACACACTTACCAAAATGTACAAATAAAATTGCCCCTAAGCTTCACACTCGGTTTTAGCACTCAACCTCAAATGGCAGTTCACCAACTCAGTGCCTCCAAACCTTCTTCTGTTGTTCCTGCTCTCTTTCACACAGTGATTTTGCTTACGTCTTCCTCAGCTGGGGGGCATGGCAAGGGACAGTGTCCAACCTATGCCCCTGTTTTTCCCATTGAGAACACTCGGCTGGCTGGATAGCTCAGTAGTTTGCAGAGCCAGAAGTTGGGAGTTCAATTCCCCACTGGGCCTCCTGTCAAGTAGAGTCAGCCTGTGTGGCCTTAGGCAAGCTGCACAGTCCCTTCCTTCCAGAAAGGAATGGTAAACCACTGAGGAGTGTATAGCCTGTATAGCTAGAAAAAAAAGGTCACCATAAGTTGGAATTGACTTGATAGCACATGGTCTTCTTCGTCATGACTCAGAACACTCAAGGAAAATCTAACTATTTTCTAGATATTGTGAAAATTACAAAATCTGATTAGATAGAATCAGAGTGGATTTTATTTAAATCAAAAAAATGGATTTTTTTTGACAATTTAAATTTAAAACTTTTTTTAAAATTTAAATTGTAATTTATATCAATTTAATTTTAAAAAATTATGGATTTTTATCCACCCCAGGTAGAATTTGTACGTAAATAATCATATAACATAGTGTGAATAAATGCATATATTAGGGGGGGAAGGTGTCAGAGAAGTGTACTAGTGACAGTGTGGGAACAAAAAGAGGTCTCACCTCTTTTTCTAACGCGAAACAGAGACAAGAAAAAAAATGCGGTTGGTATTTGAAGAAGCACAAGGAAATAGAGCCTGAGAGTTTTGCATCCCCAGTGAGAGGAAAGGTGTGGCTTTCCTTGAGTGGTTTGTCCTCATGCTTCCTGCAGGGACTGATGTACAGGCATATCCACACATCTCTCCTAAACATGTCATCAGAAAGCAGGTAGGTATGGGCTCCAGGCAGTTCCGTCCCGGAAACCCTGCAGTTCCTAAGGGCATCCTCATACATTTCACCTGCAGCCTCTGCACCAAAGAAGAAACTTCAGGAAAGAGTCAAAATATTGGAGACACACAGAAGCAGCATTACCCAGATGTTCTCATATGGATGGTCCTCACCAGGCTATGATCACACTTGTTCATGAAACAGGAAAGATTCCCAATTCTTTGCATTTTAGTCAAGGCATGGGCCATTTCCTATTTTTCCATGTCATTCCCTTTATTCCTTAGTTTAGAGCCAGGACAGTATATTTGCCACTTCTTTATCTCCAGTGTCCTTGGCTCTTCATTTGGGTTTTTTCCTAGTTTTATATGCATCGTGTAGTGTACATAAATGCTTTCTCCAGCTGAACAGTTTCTTTCTTCCAACACTTATAAAATATAATTGTAGCCAGGTATTAAACTACAGTGAAACAGTGTAGTCCTCACAGTAAATCTTCCATTTTTATGGCAGACCAGCCATAGGAACAGCTTGAACGGTGTCTGGAATACCTCTCAGGGTTATAGCTTTTCTCTTGCCACAGTAGTCACTTAGAAGTAGGCAAATAGATTAGCCCAATTGTATTTATTGCATAATAACTCCTTTTCTTACATCACAGCACAAACCCCAGCTGCTTTATATATTATACATATGACTTGATTAGTCAAAGTGCAGCAGAATTAGTAGTTAGTCTGCAGTGATACATGTTTCTTTGTAGCACTCAATGGACAGCATTGGAAATTCATTATCTGATTATCTATAATGCATTAGCCTTCTTATATTTAATGACATAAAACAGTGCTGACGGTTGAAATTTCAAATGGTGCCATCCCTTGTATAATGGACGAAGGCGCTAATTCTGACCCTTTAAAACAGACCATGCATCCCGGATGAATTTGTTTAGAAAAGAAACAAAGGTGTCTTTTTGTTCGGCTTGCATTGTTCGTTTCTGTTTTTCAGATCAATGCTAATGACAGCCTGTGACCTTGGAGCTGCGACCAAACCGTGGGAGATTTCAAGACAGGCAAGTCATGATTAATAGCAGGGCAAGAAAGAGGAGGGACCAGTGCAGTTGAAGTCCTAGGAACCTGACACGGAAAGGCCCAAATCTGCAATCAATTTACAACACTATTGCTGCATTTTAAAATAGCACAGATTTTCTGCTTGGTGTGGTTTATTGCCCAGCCTTTTTGATGTTCTTATTTGCTTGATAGCACTGAGCGTTATGGCATCTAAAGAGAATTTAATGTTACAATCATAGCAGTGACTAACTCTTCCATTTTATGTTGAAAAATAATAAATAAGATGTGGCAGGGGAGGGGGAAACAGTTGGGATGTCTAGTTATTGTCTTGACAGCTTTTAAAGTTCCTTCTTACTACAACATGTTGACATCCAATGCTTAACGTGGATCTTTGGAGATTTCTCATACCTGTAATTCAGCACTGTTGACAGTTTGGAAGAAATGTTGAAAGCTGCTGTTAAAAGATCAGGTTAAACATCTGGAAAAAGATGTGCTTATTCACCTTCAACCATCTCCTTTGTTCTTTATAAGAACCAAACCAAATATTTCATTCACTCCTAGCTCAGAGAGATTTGTTATTTAGAGCGCAGGGTTAAACTTCTCATTAATTGCTAAGTTTGTTGTTATCAATTCAAATCAAGCAAAAACTGCATAAATACCACAAATAAAACTTTAGCTCAATTTGCACAAAAGATTAATAGCTGCTGCACTGTTACATGAGATTAGATGCATCAGAGACCTGGTTTGCATCTTTTTTAACAATCAGCCAGTTCGTCTGTGCTTGATGTTTACATTTATTTTGTGTCTCAAAGGGAATAAATACTATTGTGACGTAAACTTGTGCATATTGCAGAGATCTTGACAAGAGAGCTGTGAGGAATCTCACAGAGCTTGAAAATTCCCTGTCAATGCATCTCATCAAGTTGAGACAGCCTGAACTGATGGGCATTTTAAAAAGTCATTGAAGTAAAGTGTAGCTTTAAGAGTAGTTTTGGACTTTTAAGTTCTTCACACTAGTACAAACCTGATGAAGTGGTGTTTTAATCCATGAAAGCTCATTTAGTATATGGTGATTTTTTTAGTGGTCTATATAGGTATCACTTATTTTTGCATTTTAAAAAAATCAGCAAGTGTTTTTTTACATCTCTACAGCAGAGCTATTGGTGGGAGGACAATAGACTGATTATGAAGGGGGCACATCTCACCCTACCATCATTCAGACATAAGCAGCAAGCCCCCCCTCCCCGTGTTCCCTCTAAGCTGTGCATATCTGCCTGTTTGCGGCTGGAACTCTCCATGCAGGGGGGAGCCCCCGCATGGAGCTCCAGAGAATTGGAGGAAACATTGGCCCCCACCAGACTTGGAACATGATTTGCCCATAGGTAAAACAATGTCTATTTTTCCACGCCAGAGTACAGACCTATATACAGTGTGTGCGTATGCACACACATATTCCAAAAAGAAAAGTTTACAAAGGAAAATAATCTGAGATGAGTACGAATTTGCTGTCTTTTCCACAGGGTGAATGGAGATATGAATCAGATAATGGCTCATATCATTAAATTATGATGCAACAAGAACTTGCCATTTCATATTACCTTTCATACTAGTTTGGGCAGAAGTCACGTGTGTGTATGCGTAATGAGTTAATGATGGAGACAACTTTTGTATTTAATGTCTCTGTTCCACAACAGTTTGATCAAACTACATATATGTCATGTTCAGCATTCTCTTCCCACATGGACCAACTGGGAGACTATATATATTTTTTAAAAAAACAGAATGAGGACATGAGCACAGTTATACTACCTTGCGCATGTTTCCCACCATGTGGTATAAAGAGATGCACAGCCTGAAGGTGATATATACAGCTGCTGTGACTACTAGCCACAGCCTTGGCCAAAGAACTACTTTTCCTAAGTCCTAGTAATTTCATTAAGTTGTTTGTAAAATAACACTAAATCTTTTTATGTAAAAAAAAAAATGGATTGAAAAAACATGAAAATCAATTGAAACTAACTTTGCAGAAGAGTACTGCCTATTTCCAGACATTATTAATACATATCCTTAGCTTTATTTCATTTAGATTTATAGCCCAACCCGTCTTGAAGACCAGTTAGATCAATGGAATAGATAAAACATCGCAGAAGTATTAAAACAGCCTTAATCTCTGCTGATAATGAGATGTTCATGGGCAGTGAAGATATATAGCAATATGAAAATCTGTGTAGATCGGGCTGAAGTAGGCAAATTCCTTTTAAAACCTTGGGTAACATTTATTTCATTTAAAGAAAGCTGTATTACAAGTAACTTCTCTCTTTTGTTAAACAGATGCCTAACAGATGCTTGTTCTAACTTACTATCCTCCCCCCCCCCATGTAATAGTTCATCACATAGGTCCACCTTCCCCATGTGGTTTGTCTCTATATCACTACAATGTGCCACCAGAAATGTGTGGCAAAAGCACAGATATTAAAAAGCTGCTTTATATCAAGGCACATCATTGGTCCATGTAGCTCAGTACTGGGCTACAATGGGTAGTAATGGTTCAACATGATGTCAGAATCAGGCCTTTCTGAGCCGTACCTAGAGATGCTGGGGACTTAACTTGTATTCTGTTTTAGATGAAGCATGGGCTATACTGGTCGGCTGTGCCCTTCCCTGAAAAAAAAAATTGCTCAGAGTGATTATCTGTTTAATGACCTCCTATGTACAGAATGGCTGACCAACCTCTTGTGGCAGTGATATAATGAAAAAGCAAAGACTTGGGTCTGGGGTTTACTGTCTATGAAGAAAATGTTGGCTTTCCTTATATCCCTCCTGCCCAGAGGTCACCAGCATTTTGCAAATTGTTTTTACAAAGCTAGATTTATTTGCCCACATGGAACGAGGCGTAATGGTTCCATTCCCTCTTTCACATTCCAGTGATCTCTTGGACCTCATGGCTTTTCCATTCCTATCTCTCAATCCCCATGAAAATATGGCATGTGCTTAGTGCGGACATAAATTTATGAAGTGAATTCAGGCATACCTAGAAATTCACTTCCTGTAATCAATAACGTGCCTACATGTCTCCACAGAAGGCATTTTGAAGAGAATATGGGGGTGGGGGTGAGGTGGATGAGACATGTTGAGTCCCTGCAAATGTCAGTGGTTCCGACGCGAGAACAACCATAGTGTCTGTGTTACAGAGGACAAACAGATAAAAACTAAATCATGTATTACATTATGTATAAAAAACTATATACAGTGGTGCCCCGCATAGCGAGGTTAATCCGTTCCGGATTAACCTTTGCTA